TGGGGCGTGGCTGGGGCGGCGGGTGCTGAGCCCTGCCCTTCTGGTTCCAGGTGCCGGTGGCCTTCGCCGAGGTGACCGTGTGGTTCTCCCGGGAGGAGTGGGGGCTCCTGGACCCAGGGCAGAGGCAGCTCTACAGGGACGTCATGCGGGAGAATTACCAGATGCTGCTCTCGCTGGGTGAGGCGCCGATGCCCCTCGGGCACCAGGTGGCTGGGGCGGCGGGTGCTGAGCCCTGCCCTTCTGGTTCCAGGTGCCGGTGGCCTTCGCCGAGGTGACCGTGTGGTTCTCCCGGGAGGAGTGGGGGCTCCTGGACCCAGGGCAGAGGCAGCTCTACAGGGACGTCATGCGGGAGAATTACCAGATGCTGCTCTCGCTGGGTGAGGCGCCGATGCCCCTCGGGCACCAGGGGCTCACGTAGCAGAGAGTCTCTGATGGCTGGGGACAGCGTCAGCTCAGGGCTCTTCCCTGGCCCCGTAGCTTGTTGTGGGATTGGCCCTGCCCCAACCCACACAGGAGAGACTGTCCCCCCCACGCCGCTCACTGGAAGGGGACTCACTGGGGCAGTTTGAGACCCACCCCCAGGGCTCTCTAGGCTCCTGGTGGCTGTATTTCCTTGCTCCAGTTCACACATGCACCGGATCCCTGTATCCCCTGCCAAGGCCAGCTGTGTGCCCAGCAGTGGTTCTGCTCCCTGTGGGGCTAGGAGTGGCCCAGCCTCTCCCTGAGCCTTTTGGCCCCTCACTGTGTGTGGGGAGCCCTGACTCCTTTACGGGGCCCAGCCCGACCTCCTGGCATCACCCCGCCCCAAAGGGCCCCTGTGACATTTCCCCCTGCACGGAGAACAGGGCTGGGGTTGAACTGAGGGCACGTTCTATGCACCGAGCCCTCTAGGGAGATGTCACCAAACCCCATCTCACCTGTTTCCTTCCCCCAACCAGGATTCCCTGTCCCTGATCCAGCCATGATCTGTGGGATGGAGCAAGGGGAAGAGCTGAGGGTCCTGGATCTCCAGGGCTCTGAGGAAAGGGAGATCCCGAGAGGCGCCTGCACAGGTGAGGAATGAGCGACGCCACCTCGGAGTGCAGGGGAAAGCAGGGATGTCAGTAAAAATCACTAAAATCCCCCAGTTCCGTTTGGTCTCGTTCTGTATTGTGCCTTCCAGGCACCTCTCCTTGTGGCAGGGGGCACTCCTGGGTCCCAGCAAAGCCACCGTGAGCTGTCCCCAGGATTTAGGAGAGACTGTCATGTCTGTCCGGTTGCTGATGTTACGGGAGAGGTGCCTAGACTTGGGGGCAGGACCCCAATGCCAGCTTAGCAGTGCTTGAAAAACTGGCTAGAGGAGAAGCTGAGAGTCCATTAGTCAGCCAGTCCCCCTATCCTGGGCAATTTTAAAATCAAGTTTGGGTGTTTTTCTGAGAGAGCTGGGCTAGTTCAAACTGGGAGCAATTCAGGGGAGTTCTCTGATTTGTGCTGTACAGGAGATCGGACTAGATCTTTTTTAGCCTTAGACTCTATGAAGCTATGAATTTTGGACCTGGCCCATGTTCCCAGTAAGCTGTGCGCTTGTGCAGCCATTCAGGAGAGATTCCAATGCAGCCCAGCTGACTAGCAGAACTAGGTTTTGTCTTTCTACAGTAGTGCACATCTGCACATGCCTTGGTGCATGTTAAAAAAATTATTCCACATGCAGATGAAAAAAATCTGCACGTGGATGGAAAAAATTAGAGGGATCATTGGGCCTTGATTAAAATTATGATTCCCAGTTGGATTCTCTCTCTCTCTCTCTCTCTCTCTCAGTAGGTTCCAGAATAGAGAAGGAGAATTCCCAGCAGGAAGGGCCTGAGGGAGCGAAGCCGAATGGGACATCCTGGAGCTCTGGCAGCGGCACAGGACGGCAGCGGGGAGAGGAGCCAGGACACAGGTGCAGGAGGGCCAGGCCCTTCAGCTGCGGGGACTGTGGGAAAAGTTTCACCAAGAACTCGGAGCTAATCAAACACCAGCGCACGCACACGGGGGAAAGGCCCTACCAGTGCCCGGATTGCGAGAGGTGCTTCGCCATCCGCTCCAGCTTGGATCGCCACCGGCGTGTCCACACGGGTGAGCGCCCCTTCCCCTGCACCCACTGCGGGAAGAGCTTCAAGCTCAGCTCCGCCCTGAGCCAGCACCGGCGCGTTCATGCTCAGCAGGGGCCTTGCTTCTGTGCTGAGTGTGGCAGGGGCTTCAGAGACAGCGCTGCATTGATCCAGCACCAGGCTGAGCACCGGAACGACAGAGATCCCACCAACGGCCCTGTGGGGACACGGGTCTACAAGGACCCTTTCATCCAGGCGTGGGACTTTGACGGGGAGGCTGTGGGATGTGATATCCTGAGCCTGTGAAAGCAGAGAGTAGGTGATGGATCTGCACCTGGGTCGTGGAGCTGGACGGGAGATGGCGGAGCGAGAAGAGAGCAGCCGTCAGGAAGACAAGGACGGAAGCTGTGCTCTCTGGAGCAGGACTGGGAGACAATGTGGTCTAACGCCGGGGCTCTCAACCAGAGATCTGTCAGGAGGTACCGCCATTCATCTAGGGATTTGCCTAGTTTATATTGACTTTGCTCGTGTGTGTTGTAAAACTACAATCTCAGACAGATGGGTTGAGAAAGTAAAGCATTCGTCAGTAAGAATGGGCTGTGATACAGGCTGTGGTTTTATGTTTGCCTTTGTTGGCAAATCGTTTTGAAGTGGAGGTGAAATTTGGGGGAACTCGCAAGACAAATCAGACTCCTGAGCTGGATACAGTGGTCCAGAAAGTTTAAGAAGCTCAGGTTTAGTGAACAGAGCACTATGTTATGACATCTGGGTTCATTTCCTGGCTCAGCCTCTGGCTGGCTGGGTGAGCTGAGGCAAGTCCCTACTACCTCTGGGCCTCATTTTTCTCTCCTGCAAAATGGGGATAATCATACAGCTGAGCTGAGGCAAGTCCCTGCAACCTCTGGGCCTCATTTTTCCCTCCTGCAAAATGGGGATAATCATACAGGTCTCATTGTCAAGTTCTTTGGGATCTTATGATGGAAAGCACTAGATAAGAGCTGGGCACAGTTCTAATGGCTGAAAAAAATCATGTAAACATTATTTTGATGGACTATTGGGGTTTGATTTCTTTTTTCCCCCTATGGAAAGGGTTCACATTCTGTGGAAAAATACTGATGTTGTTGTTGTTGTTGTTAAAAAAAAAACCAGGTGACAGAAAACAAAAATTTCATCCGAAAATACTGATTTGTTGTTGTTGTTGTTAAAAAAAAACAGGTGACAGAAAACAAAAATTTCATCCAGAAACTGAAGTGTTTTAATTTTGCGTATGTGCCCTAGTGCTTCCTAAGAGTTGTGGTTTGGCTGAACTCTCTAGACTGTCTCCCATGATGCATTGCTTCCCGTCGCTTAGCAGATACCATAGTACTTGATGGGGGATGTAGGATAACCAGGTAGGCCAACTTCTGGAAGAGAATGGGAGCACAAAGCACTGAAATTACAACTCCCTTGGAGCATTTCCAAATTTAATTTTTGTTTTGGCTGAAATTTTCCTTTTTTTCTTTGGAAATTGTAGGCAAGTGATTTTTCTCCCCCCTTCGCCCTCCCTCCCCCCATAATGAAAAATATCAGGGATGGAGACCCAGAAACATTTTCCAATGAGCTCTACCCACAGGTCCCTTTTGCCTGAGCTAATGGATCAGACCTGTTAGCTGGGAGGCAGCAATGTAACCCACTGGTGAGTGTGTCCCTGATTCACAAAGGGTATGAGTCTGTTCCAGGCCTGATTAAAGAGGGCTGGTCTTTTATCTTGTATATCTTGAGGTCATCAGTTCAGTTCTGGGTGTAAGACACTGACATTAGCAGCCCTGTTATGTGATAAGCCACAAAGCAGTTAATGGAGGGGAAAAAAGCGAGGATGGTGGTTTTGCTTCACAACAGCCTCCACCACCCCCACCGCAGAGGAATCGCCTCAGCTCTCAAGGTGCTAGCTGCCCCAGAATGGGGCACATTTCTCCCTCCTTTGCCCCTGGC